ATCATAGACGTTACTAGCTGGGTGGACTGTCTGAGGCCAATCGATCTGATTAGGTACTGCAGGAGACGGGCAGAGATCGATTACGTGGGGCTAGAGGATGTGAGATTTCTCTTCGAGACCGCAGCTTAGGGAATGTCGGGAATGACGGCCACGGTGATGCGTGTAGGAGAGCAACTGGTAAGCGCAGGATACACTGTGACAGTACTTCTCCGAGCGTACGTAGACGAGGACTTGACAGCGAGGGAGTGCAGACAACGAGCCAGGGATTTGATCCACGAGCGTAGAGCTGATGTACTGGCGCGAGTGACCTTCCAGACCTCGATTTCCTATGATGTGATGATATGGTCTCGTGGTTATATGCGCGCGGAGCACTACCACGATGAGACGGTAGCGGAGGTTAGAGCGAGGGTGAGAGGATGAGCTGGAAAAAGATGTGGATTGAGTATGGAAGAGGGGACTGGAGGCAGTCGAAAAAGTGAGAAAGCGCGTTAAAGAACCACTCTTGAACCAGGTAAAGAAGTTGGGGAACAAGTTAAGGGAGATTTGGTCGTGTCAGAACGAGGGCAAGTTGCGTAGGGCTGAACTCGTGACGAGAGAGTTAGAGAATCTATTTAGGGAGGAAAGAGAGATTATCCAGGCGTGGAGATCAGACTTTCTGGAGAGGGTAAAGGCTAGAAGCGTATCACGCGAAGAAACTAGTGAGCGATCTGCAGAGAGCGAGACAACGGAAGACAAAGTAACGCACGGAAGTAGCGACAGGACATGAGCGGGACTGCACTACACACGACGGATCGGTACTCATTATATGTGGTAGGGAGACTGAACGGACCATTAGTGTTAGTGATGATAGAACTCCAGCTCCATACCAGACTGTGCATAGTTGAGGAGACATAGTGTGTCCAAGGAGGACGGAGATAGACGCTCGGAGACTCTTGAGGGGTGTTGATCAGGAGACATTGGTTAGGTTTGGGACTGCGATCTGTCTCAAAGATAGAGGTCCTGTCACGGGTGTACTGTAGATCCGGAGAGGCACGACCTTGTTGGCCGATCCCGAAGGAGAGGTTTACTTAGACACAGGGATTCTTGGGATAGAGGGAGAGCACGAGATCCGCGACCGGTACGGGATACTAAAAGTGGTAATCAAGGCGGTCGAGAGCTAAGATTGGAGGCGGACGCGAGCCGTGACAAGGAAACAGGTCCGGGCTGCCGCAACTGTCACAGGTCCGGGCTGCAGCGACTGTCATAGGGTCGGGCTGTAACAGTTGACTAGAATACCTAACTGCGTCTTCTGGCGGTCCAATGGAACCCGACACGATGGGACCACAACCGACCATAGGCGAAGCGGGAGAGGAGTACAGGACATCGCCCGATCGAGCTCTGAGGGATTTGAAGGAACGAATTAGGCGAGAAGCACCGCTGAGATGGGTTGACCAAACCAATGATGGAGGGCCGGACGTAAGGGGCGAACTAGTTGCGACAGAGTCGCAGGAGGTTCTAAAGACGGGTACCTCGAGCGGACGACGAGAAGCGACGAGGCGACGCTCCCCCGAGTACGAGCGGAGGGACACCATAGCGGACAGTCACAGAGACGAATGGAGAGAGAGTTTGAGGGATTCCTATTGGAGGGACAGAGATAGAGACAGGGCTCCGCCTCGGCGAGTCTTCGACCCCCAGACAGGGGAGTCACATCCGCTCCCTTACGAGAGCAAGGACCGCTATATTATTACGCACAAGGCCTCAGAGCCTCCTACCTTCAGGGGCTATGGTATCACAGAATATCTGGAGAAGTGGGAGCTTCACGCCAGCTGGAGTCAGTGGTTGGAAGAAGAGATTATAGAGAACTTCCTATTTAATGTGGACCCAAGTCTCGGTAGGAAAGTTAAGGAAGCTCGACCTAAGGATGGAAAATGGACTACGTACAAGAAGAACCTCGTTGAGCTTTACAAATTGGAGGATAACAAGTATTCCATCAAAGACCTTGAAAC